ACAGCAGCGACGTGGAAGTAGCAGCAGCAAGCAATGCATACAGAGAGGCAGGTTAAATAGAGCGGCATATTAAGGCCACTCTGGTTGGTTGGTTGTAGAGTGGCAAGGGGCGTTATGTATGAATGCAGCATAAGTGCTCGAGTTGACTGCCTGAACTAGCTCGCAGGCTTCGCCCCATATTTTAAATCCATGTCTTACTCTAATAATGTTTGTATGTGCAAAGAGTGACAAGGAATAGGTTATAAGGAAAACAGCTTGAATGACTTTCAAATGGAGAAATGCATAAGATAAAGGCACTGTACTTTTTTAAGGGTTAGAATTCATTTGTAATATGTGGGGAAGTAATGGGTGGATGTTTTGACTGAGATTCGCCAGGTGCCTTACTGATTAAATGTTAAACCATTTATCAACCATTTCGACTTCAAAGCTAAATAGATGTACCTCGCCATTGCCTCATCAAATAATTATGTTGCAGCTTTGTTGGTTGATCTCACATCCAGGTGAGATTGTGCCTTTGAAATAGCTTTTACTGGATCAACTAGTGGTAAGAGGCCCTCAAAAATGAGACTCAGAGGCACTTTCCAATCTAATGGCCCCTTCATAATTAGGGCCTTCCAAAGCAATTTACTAAAAAGCATAACTCAGTTCTATGATGTGACAACACTAGAGCAAAGGTTTGGATAAGTTTAGGCACTAAACAATTTGGTTAAGTTGTAGTATATCTTACAGTTTTTTAAATAGGAAAACCATCAGCGCCGACAGGTGTTCAAATCTGATGTTTGTTTACTCATCCCTCCCAACCGACCTCCATATGTGGAATTTGTAGCTCAACATCAACATCATCTGTCATAATTATTGAAAGCTACTAGAGAAATGTTATCACGTGTTGTTTTGGGGCACTGAAAGACTTCTCGTGTTGTTGTTTTCGAGACAACAGTACAGTTTCTACTGGATCAAAGTTTTTAATATTTGCAGTTTGTAACTTTGTTAAAACTGTTATAATATATATTTTAGTATGCCAAACAATGGAAATATTGACTACGTGTCATGTGAATGGATGACTCTCAAAGATGAACCTGCAGAGGGACTACAGATTGAAGCGAGCTCATAAAATAATTCTGGCATATTAACATTGAGGTAAAAACTGAAATGTTGATAAATGTTTCACACCTTTACTGTTTTGGTTCACTCTCATGTTATTATTTGTGAAGCTGCGTTAGCTGTTTTCAGCAAAAATGTCTAACAACCCCACTGTATATTATCTGGCCAGCATTAAAGGGCAGGCAAACCAAGTTAGCAACCAGCGAGTGAGCATAGTGGAGAATTTTGGAGCTACAGTAAAGGGACAGATAAAAAGTATGAGTGTGGATGTTATTATTATTATTATCAGGGTTATTCTTCCACTCGTAAGGACCCTCATTTACGTGCCTCACTCCAATTTGCAGTAATTCTAACCTTAATCTCTAAAAAAGGGTTGTCCCTTTGGAGAATGTGAGGAATAAAACATCTAAATCGACAAAATGACCTCGCAGTCCTTACAATTTGAAGAACATATTTTTTCAAAAGTTGAATTTGCTAAAATAAAATGATAATCTTAATTTAAATTATCCCTTCATTTTATTCAAATGTTCTAAGGAATGGAGACATTGCTCTAAGGCGATACACAAAGTAAGACACATAAAAAAACTTCTATTTCACTTAAGATTTGTGAATCTGTTTTATTCAACATTTTATATTTAATAACCATTGTCAATTTCAGAAACTACTTTCTTGAAAGAACAGCTCAAATGTTAATGAGGAGAAACTAAAAGATTGCTTTGTTTGATGGAGTTTTTCAACCTAATTCGGTGCAATGCATGGTGACACTGATTATCTTCAATTACAGAGAAAAGTGGTTTGGTATTTACTTTTCTTTAATGTCACGCTGTCTAAATAAAAAGATTTCTACGAATAAACTGGAACTAACTGACATTGAAGTAATTAGTCACGCACTCAACCTTCCATTGGACATAGTAATTTGCAGGAAACCTTCCACAATGAATGGTTCTAATTTTCTAGAAAATCATGAAAAACTTTTGACGAATGCACCAACAAAACGTCTAACAATGTGTAAGACCATAATGTATAACTGGTATTATTGCATGCACTCTGTACTGTCTGCCTTTGAATTTGTGTTAATTCAGCGCTATTATGTTTAGATGTACCTTTGTTTCCTTACTACATAAATGCCTAAACAGGAGGACCTTTAATGCTAATTTGGCATTAACTTCCCAAGATAAATGAGGGTGCAGAAGCCCCCCCGCAGGGAGAGACTGCCTGCATGCTGGTGAGTGATTCACCACAACCTTTACAAGGACAAATCTTTGAGTCTGACCTTATGTTTTTTGAAGGTATTTCTGTATACTGGCACTTTATCATTACTGGCTAGTTAAGACAAGTATCCTTAGTAATTCTTCAATCGTTCATGCTTGGGACTCACTATTAGATACAGTTATGATTTTACAGGTGTCATAAAAAACAGTTGCTCAAAAACAACATGCCTACGATTTACAAAAAATTCAGGTTGCTATAATAATAATAATAATAATAATAATAATAATAATACATTTCAGTAATATAGCACACTTTAAAAACAACGTAATCTCAAGTTGCTTCACAATGCTATGAGGAGAAAATAAAATAAAAATAAAAAGTGATCTAAGGAGCGCATTGAATACAATATGGTAATATAAAAAAGGTGAAGAGCATAAAAGGTTAGAATAAAGGGCTATCTATTTGCATTGCATGGCAGCTTTATTCTTGCAACAACATACAAAATATGAAGAAATATATTGGCTTCAAGTGATGCAGATTGATGAACCAAACTAATTGTGTTTCACATCCCGCCTCATAGACATCACATTAACACTCAGCTTGTGACTATTGTTTCTGTACATAATTGCACATGTCCTCTAAACTAAATACTGTTTTACAGCACCACTCTTCATTGTTAAAACAGATATTCAGTATTTCATATTTCTATTCTCAATTATCCCATTGTATTTATGTTACATCACTGGTGCAGTTGTTTTGTGATTAGTTTAGAACCAAACATGCAAAGAAACACACCTTGGCATCAAACCTGATTCTGATTAAATGCAAATGTAAGCCTGACAAATATTCTGCGTAGGGGTTGAGTTATGAAGATCAGTTTCAAGCCAAGAACGTTACAGACACTTTGCATGTTTTCTTGTAGGTAAAATTAGATGAACGAATGGCATTGTTCTGCCTGTTACTCTTGCTAAACAGAACAATTTAGGCACTCTCTAATTGCAATAACACACTGATTATTACCATAAATCGGTTGACATTAACATTTTCTTATAAGGACAAGAGTCAGTGTTAATGTTATAGTAATGCTTTCACCATGAGTCCAAAGAAATTATATATTAAAATAGAAAACATTTCAAGCAGTTTTTCTCTGGCCATTAAAGATCTGTGATGGAAGGACACACAGTCCTGTGATAATAAACACATTTGAGCTACTCTTATTTAAGACTTTTCCTTTCATGTTACTTTCTACTGCTTATATTTCAAAGGGAAACATCATTACATTTATTTGATAGCTTAGGTTAATTTACACATCGAGAGGTTTGCATGCAAAAATCTTATTAAATTTGTTTTTAATACATAAATGACAATGAAGAAGAAGAAGATATACTTTATTCATCCCTTACAGGGAAATGTCTTTCCCCACTCTGTTGTGTTTACACACATTACACACACAGGCAGGATATACATGCACACACACAACCGCATGCAGATAGAAGTGGCAGAGCAGAGAGGCTGCCAGGTACCCGGCACCAAGGGAGCAGTTTTGAGGTTAGGTGCCTTGCTCAAGGGCACCTCGGCAGTGGCCTTGGAGGTGAACTGGCACCTCTCCAGCTACCAGCTCACTCCATATTATGTTTTTTGGTCCAATTGGGACGTGAACCAGCGACCCTTTGGTGCCAAGACCCTACAGACTGAGCCACTCAATGTATTGTTTCTATAAGATTTTTTCATTTTTTTGTAAATGTGTCACTTAAGACACCTAGGAATGTTTGGATTGGTGTTCATCACCATTTTCAATGTTCCTTCAAACAAAACAATTGAATTGATTAAAGGAGGAAATGCAGATTATTCTACAAGTGGGGTTGAATGAATTTATCCATAGTCTGTGTGTCACCTCCAGCTCTGCATTCTCCAGTTTCTTGAGTTACCAACACAGGAGCAAACAATGTGATGATGTGGACAGGGACAAGTACAACAGCAGCGCATTTACCTCAACACTTCAGAACTATTCCTTTAACATTTCAAGCAGCTTGTTTCTTAGTAACCTCAGTTCAGGTAAGGATTTGTGCAGGAAAAAAATGATTTTTCTCTGAAAACTCTTATTTTTGAATTAAATCCCATAATTAAGTGTAATTCCAACAATGTGAGCATTCATTGACACAAATAATATAACCTTCATAATCATGTGTGAAAGCCTAAGTGCATCAGAGAGTTGTGTAGTCGCATCGTATGCTGTGCAACATCATGCTCAAGAACATTATTGGACTAAAAAGGAGACATTCAAAAAGGGCATTTCAATCATCAAGGAGAACGCTACAAATTAGAGGCCAAAAACTGAAAATGGCAGAGGTGCCTGTCAAAGAAACCTTGAGCAGGAATAGTTTTAGAATTTTGCCATTCAGAAAGTGTTTGGTTCCAAAGGAAAAATACTAATCTATATTAAAAAATAAATCCATCCAACATAATTACTCACCTTGAACTCTTTGGATCTTGGCATTGAAAAAGCTACAATGTTAAAAATAAGTGCACTCAGCATTTAATGATGTGCCAAACATAAGGTCTAGTCAATTACCCGACACAACTTTACAATTCTGCTAATAGAGACAGGTCTGGACTCATGGTTCAGAATATATGAGGGGAACAGGTAAGCATTTGCTTTTGAGGTCAAGTGTACATAGACAGTATTACAACATTAAAAAGACATTTATTTATTTATTACGATGCTTTACCAAAAACATGAATGAACATGGGAAAGCATGTTTACATCAATATATACTCATATGACACCTTTCATGTATTAAAAACATCAAGTAATGTGGGTACAACTGTGAAAACTCTCATGAATCTTGTGTACATTTAGCTAACAATGTGAGGGTTTAAATATCTGCCCCCGTGTTTTATTTCATTCATGAGAGCGGTGCCACATTGACGCAGTCTTCCACCATCTCAAACAGGACGTGGTGTGGGCTGGTACGTTGGGATATCTCCCTGGCCGTCTCCCCGCTGCCGCTGCGGAGCTCCGGCCTCAGGTGTAGCTGAGATAGCAGGAGCTCCAACGTGTTGGGGGAGTCTGTCATGAGGGAGGTGGTGTCGGAGGCGGCCAGGTGGAGCGCGGTGAGCCCCCCGTTGGTCTGGGCGTTCAGTTCGGCTCCATGTTTCAGGAGAAAACTTGCCACTTTGACGCGGCTCCAGCGGCAGGCGCTATGGAGGGGCGTCCAGCCGTCGTGGGTGCGAGGGTTCACCTTTGACCCCGCGGCGATTAAAGCAGAGACAGCGTCAACATGGCCGCTGTACGCCGCTCGGTGCAGCGGAGTGTATCCATCCTCATCACAGCTGTGCACCACCAACGGATCAGCAGTTACCACCCTTCGGATTGTGGAAACCTGTGAGAAAGATTTTTAGGTTTTTAGGAAACTACAAATTGCTTCGAATAGTCTCATGAAAGAACTATTCCCTTAAAGTTCACCTATTATGCAAAATCCACGTTTTCACATTTTTTATACATAAACATGAGTCCCCTCTGTGTAAAGAGATTCTGAAAGTTTCAGGAAAAAAGATTTGCTCACTTTTTGTCCTGATCCATTTCTATAAAAACCTGTCTGAAAATGAGCTGATCAGATTTTGGCCACTTTATGATGTCATAACGATGTTTTGGCTTGTGTAACCATTAGCCAATCACCAACCAAGGTAACCCCCCCCCCCACCTTATCACCTGAATCTCCTTCTAGAGCACCATTGTGTTCTTTTTTTAACCAAATATGTCCTAGAGGGGCGTGGGGAGTGGCTCCTTATTTTCATCTAAAGTAACAGACAGAGAATCAGCACTTTTTTTTTTTCAGACTTTTTTTTATTGGGTTTTCAGACAAAAGTGCTAGTGAAGCACGCTCAGGTACTGCGGAGCGCATAAAGCTTAGCAGAATCTTCACGCTAACGAAGGATCACTTCTTCTTCAGGGCAGGGAAGGCTACGCAGTAAGCAGTCTACTGTCCCGCAGATGCTGCCTCTGTTGGAAAAAAAGAGTGGGGGGGCAAACGCACTAACCACTCCGCCAACGCCACAGTCACCCCCGTCGTGCGGGCCGGATGAGAATGTCTGGCGGGCCGGATGTGGCCCGCGGGCCGCCAGTTGTTGGTCAATGTCCTACAGTGTCAAACCCTACCGGGCGCGTTTCAGAAGCGGAGCGTCTTGCCTGCCGGCTCGCAGTTTGTTGATTTGGGCATATTTCCTGGACAGGTACTTTGTACAGACAAAGTTAATAATAATTGTAATATTCCAGTTATAAACGACATGAATCAAAGAGGTGTTGCTGTATTTTAGTGGTAAAAAAATGCATTCATCATCATAATTATTCTATATATAATTTACACAGTGCCTGTAAACCGGAGGAGAACGCTGGCATTTCTCCTCCTACTAGAAAGACTACGGAGGGATAGGGTCTGCAAAATTAGTTTATTTTGGGGATTGACTGGATGCTCTGACCGGTCCACTTCCTGCCCGGCGCTATGCAACGCCTCGCCTCGAAAATAGACCAGCCGCCTATTTTTAGCGGAGCCCAGCGCCGAGACGCTTCTGGGACGATTCTAGCCGTAACGCGGCACGTCTGGTCGAATAGCACCTATTGACTAGAGTGGCCGTAACGTGGCCGTGACACAAATATATCTCTAATCCAGTCCTGATGGGCAGGTGAAGCTGGGGATTTCCACTTGAGTAGAATCAAGTGTCTAGCTAAGAAGGTAACAAAAGCTACAAAGTTCTTCTTTTAATTTGGCATTGCAGGCCTAATGATGACTCCAAATAGGGCAATGATTGCAGAAGGCTTGACAGAGACAGAGATAACCTGTGATATTGTAATGAATATTTCAGACCAAAAGTTATGCAGAGAGGGGCAAGTCCAAAACATATGGATGTAGGTAGCTGGAGATTGACGGCATCTATTGCAGACAGGATCAACACCATCATATATTTTGGATAACGTGACCTTAGTTAAGTGATAGCGGTGAAGAACATTACACTGAAGCAATCCATGCAGAGATGGAGGACGAGTGAACCCGTCTCAGACACTCATTCCAAACATCTTCTTCAATTTCAAATTGTAAATCACCCTCCCATTGTGTTTTAATAGTGTGCAGTGAGACAGGGTTTAGAGAGTGGATGAGACCATACAAAACAGAGATATTGCCTTTCATAGTTGGTAGTGGAGTCAAAAAGGGGCCGATAATAGCAGCTGCTGGTAGGTAAAATTAGCAAAGACATTTATTTTATTTTTTATCCTAATAAAGTCCATTTGGAACATAATTAATTTTGAGTAAATGAGGTTAGGGCAGATTTGGTCCCCCCCAAAGTGAAGCTTTCTTTAAATATCCACAGGGTGCTTATTGTTCCTCATGGACCTTGAGAGGTTTCAGGGTTCATAAATGTGTTCGCTCTATGTTAACAACTCTCGTCGTGCCATGTATTTCCTTTGCAGAGGACAGTACACTCTGTATACTAAAATGTTCTATTTCTGGCTTCTTATTTTTTCCTTAGATGTTTTCAAAATGTGCACACTCTTGTGCAGATGTACAGAATGTATCATCAACAGATGTAGTACAGAACTTGCTGTGCGTAAATACATGCTTTTGTTAGAAACCTTAAAAAAAAACAAAAAAACATTGTAGGTGTTGCAATTTTGTCATTAGAGTGCAAGAATTATTAACAGCAAATTATTTTTTGAAGGTCTGGGGGAGCGAAATTAAAACTTAAGAAAATATCTTAAAAAACAGGTATCTAAACCTCAGCTGAAAGAGCGTGCAAAAGGATGTTTAAAGTTAAATCAACCACTTGAATGTGTTCATAACTTTCACCAATTCTCTTACAAAATACAAATGGAAAGGTGAACCAGGAAAATCTAAACCCAGCTCACAGCTGCAGTCAGGACCACTTATTTTAATTACTTTTTACCACCTGGATCTTTCTACAACAATCATTTTTCAATCAAAGCCGTAATCCACTCTCTGCTTCCAGCTGATTTATATGATCATATCCAACTAGGGTTTGGACAATTGTTCCGACAAAAAAAACATTGCAAAGTGCTGCCTGGTTTTAAAGGCTGATCACCCCAAATAAATGTCCTTCTCAGACCTCCAGACTCTTCTAGCTGATCTGTTATATACCATAACCCACTCAGTCATTACATCCACATAACGCCTGCCCTACAGATGATTATTAATCAAATATCTCATTGTGTAAATATTAAGTGAAATCCCCAGTGGTCAATCCTACAGTATCTAAGCAATATTGATAGAGGTTTTGATCAAAAATATCTTCATACGAGTTCCTTTTCATATTGCTCCACCCATTTTGTAAGTGTCACATTGGGCTTTGAGAATTTTAGAGGTTTATCATCCAGCACTACATGGATGATTTACAAATAATTATCTAATAAGCACAAAATAAGACACAAGAAAGTATTTGCTTTTGAATTCTTTGAAAACACTAATAAATGTTATCTTTTGGCAGAAATCTGTCTATTTAGCAACATTATTTAAATAATCAGCCAACAAGAAATACTTGACTGTGAAAGGCCTACTTAGAAAACCGCCCGTCTCACACAAATACATGTATTAGACTCCAATTGCTTTTCATTAACATAATAAAGGGAAGCAGGCACACAAACAACAACATACTCAGTGTATTAAATAATGACATGTGGCGCACACACTGTGTCTTTGCTCAGAACAGTTTAGAGAAAGCTAGTTAGGTTGAGTGAGGGAGGTGTGAGGATACAGACTGCATTTTCACACAAAATGCTGACAAGATACAAATCTGTCAGGCTTTAATGTTTATATGGTATAAACTTTGAGACAATATCCGAGCTTTCGCCACTTTTTATGTTAGTTTTCATTTTGAATCTCTTAAATTACTTTATCAATGTGATTTCTCAGATATTTTATTCACTGGATGAGATTCAAACGGATGTCCCGGTTATTTATCACAAATTTCCAGGAAATGTACATTAATAACGATATATTTATTGATATTGCGATATAGATATTTCAGTGAAAGTGGAAATAATGTAAAAAGCCGTGAGCAGGAGGCTGAACAAATGTATCCATTATCTTTCACATCATAATGTTAACTGTAATTTCTTTGAGACCTTTTGAGTTCCCTTGGCCCTTTGAAAGAAAACTGCTATGCTACTAACAGATGAGGGGCCTAATTACTATAATTAATTACTTACTCTTCTTAAGTGATCATTTACTGCATTCACTGTGAGATTGACCTGCCTGACTCCCGAATAAATATTCTTTCTCAATTAAATTCAACTCCAGTCACTTATTTCCTGACACAGCAGCTCAGTGTTTCGCACAGTCAGAAGTTATTGAGTTTAAACAGCATCAGTCGTGACTGAGACCTCTCTGTGTTTCCATGTGTTCGAAAGGTTGCTTCCCCTTCAAAAGGAATATTTTTGGGTGAATGCTTCCAAAAGAAAGACACGCACATTTAACTTTCACAAAAGAACAGTCATTAAGAGATGTCACATCTAGGTTGAATGTTTTTAAAAATAATTAGCATTACAACCAGGCAGTTGTTTGCCTCTGCTAGACTTAAGTTCCAAAAATGACATCGCTTCATCATTTTTTCTACTTGTAGTTTGTCTAAAATTGTCATATTTAGCATATCAATACTTAGATTTATGGCCAAAAATGGGTTTTGTAAGTTCACAGTCACCTTTAAATCTAATTTACAGAAATAAACAAACTAGAAGTCTAAAGCCCTTAGGCTTCTTATTGGGCTTAAACTATGATTTTTGAGGATGGTGAGCCTTCCGAAATGTCTTTGTATAAGTCACGAAGAAGTAATATTAAAGCAAGTGAATCTGAACTATTAGGAAATGAAATACTAAATGTTTTACACAGGCAAGCACGCGAATGAGAACCAAGGGTTGATCCCGTCACATTTATCTTATGCCCAGTTTAACCCATGTTTACCACAAGAGAGAGTCACAACGGGGTGAAGTCTAAGTTCTTAGAGTCAAGCCAGGACAAAACATGACTTACGCGATTGTTTTCTGCAGCCCACAGAATGAGCACCTTTGGTAGGTGTTTGAGACTTTCTTCTTTTTCTAGATACCACTCCTCACTGTTGTACCTCTCCTCTTCATCCACCTCGTCCTCCTCGTCCTTGCTTTCGGTCCACAGGCTGCTGGCTCCTCGGGGGATCAGATGTCCATGTGTGTTCAGAAGCTCAAGCTGGTTGAAATCTTCAGGAAACTCCATCACTTGGTTTTTTTTTTTCCCAGAGAAACCAAGACATTAAAAATCAGGCAGATATACTGAGTGAACTAAGATGAAATAAAATTAGAATTGCAGAATGAAAAAGTGAACAAACATGTCTTTTAAGTTTTTTGCTTAAAATACCAAACAGTTCACCCATTGTAGCCATGCCTCATACTGCTTGTCACTACCCGACCTGCAGCCCTGCCCTACCTGCAGTGCGCATGTGCGAGATGGTCCGCCATATTGGAGAACTCCATACGGCAACTCTAATAGCTAGAATATTGAACCAAATCTGACTCTATAGCTAAAAAGTGAACCAGCTTCGTAGGACCAGAAATCCCTGAAGTTAGCTTGCTAAACGAAAATCCTGATTCGTAGTATAGGCCCCAGGCTAGCCGTTCAGCAAAAGTAAAAAAAAACGTGAAGTTAGCTCGCTAAGCGAAAATCCTGCTTCGTAGTACAGGCCTCTGTTGTCAGGGTTGGGGTAAAATAGGACCCAAATGCATATTGAAGAGGGAAGCAGGCTTCAAAATGAAACAAAAAGCGAGCTTTATTTACAAAAGCTGAAAAAACAAGAATCCATGAACAGGTACTGTAGCACGAGGTAGCATCCAAACAAAAGGTGACTGTGACCAACATGAAGGGAGACATGAACGACAAACAATGATCCAACACCGAACACAGGAAGAGACAAGACTAAATACAGGGAGGGGTAATCACAAGACGAGAAACAGCCAGGCAGGGAAGGAGAAACACAAGGGCAACAGGTGAACACAATCAGACAATCAGACACACCAGGGAAACTAACGACAGGGAGGAAGACAAGACACAGGGAGAACATAATTGCAAAATAAAACCATGACAAGACAGACCAAACTAAAACCGACATATAAAACTAAGATCGTGACATCTGTACTACGAAGCAGGATTTTCGCTTAGCGAGCTAACTTCAGGGAAAACTCTGGATTTCCGGTCCTACGA